AGTCGGACTCATTAGAAGAATTTAAATAAAAATTGTTTTTTTTTTTTTTTATTAAAATTATTCCAAATTTAAATCTCTAATATTTAAGAAATTTAAATTGTTTCAAAACAAAAAAAATTTTCCTTAAAGATTTTTCATCTGCCCTATATTTTTTCTTTTCCTTACATTCAATTGATGATTTTGTCACCTTAAAGAAGAAATCAATAATTTTTTCAACCGAAAATTTTAACCACATAAATATTTCAACCTCTTCAATAAAAAATCAAATTATTGTTCCTATAAAAAAAAATATTTAGAAAGGTTAAAAGAAAAAATTAAAGACAAAAAATAGGAAAATTCTAACTCTTTCCTTCTAACTTAATTACTGAAATGAAGGATACGTGTGTCACTTATTTTAGGAAGAAAAAAAAAAATTTCTGTTTTTGGTCACCTTGAATTTTTCTTTATTAAATCACTGCCATTTTATTTGGCGTATCGATCTTTCTTTACAAAAAAAAATTTCTATTTTCTTCCTTAAAATCTTCAGAATTGAATGAAAAAATTTTGAAAATTCTTTAATCCTTTTTTAAATATTTTTATTTTAGTAATATTATTAATAAAATCAATAAACTTAAGAAAATCTATATAAAAAGTCGATCATTTCATCTATTCCAATGATGGTATATTTGTTCTCTTTACACAATTTTCTTCTTGGTTTTTCTTAACATTTTGCCCTTTTTATATCCGTACAAACGTGTATTCAAAGGATATACAAAATTTGCCTTACCGTTTGCAATGCTGAGAAGTATTCTGAATCGATTGCTTATGGGCAAAAACAAATAATGCACAATTAAAAATTTTTAAAAATAAAAACTTTACTGTGGCGGACGGAAATTTTTTTTAAATCAATTCCGTCCCCCCTAGCGATAATTCAAAAACTTATTGAGCTAAAATCAATAAATTTTAGCAAATGATTTCTTATATGAAATGCAAGAACCCTAATTTAATTGGATCTGATCCAGGGTACTGATTCGTGTAGCTGCCATATAATTTCAAAATTTATTTAGCTAATTATAGAAGCTATGGCATTGACATTTCTTGATTCCTTACGGTAGATGCCATACAACTTCAATATTATTCTTTAGTTATATCTTAGAAATTATTGCAACAGGTTCAGAAAACTTAATAGTTTGTCCCATAGTCAGCTATGGCATATTTCTTCTTCTATAGGATAAAAAATTCGTATGGGTATCGCAGAGTTGACTGCGACCAACTCTATTTTTTTCTCGTTTTAGTTTATTTTTGAAATATAAATCATTTTGTTATCCTTTCCCAGTTTTTTTCCTGATTCTTTATATTTTTGCGAAGGATTCGAACACAAAGTAAACTTTTTAATTAAAAAGTTTATTAAATTTTTTCTTTCAATAATTTTTTTCTCAATTGATATGCTTACCTATTTTTAGTTATAATAGTACAATGTCTTGGCAAAATCGTGAAATTCAAAGCCCTACATAAAATAAATAAAGATTTTCACCCATTAAATTTGATCTTTTGATTTGTTATCAATATAGATGTGTTCTTCTTTTATGATTTTTATTCACTCTTTAAAATTTTAATAAAAAGTTCGCTAACCTAAAGATTTTCACAATTCTTTTATTTTCTTTGTATTATCCTTGAAATTTTGATGAGAAGATATTGTGTTTGATTATAAAGAAATAAAAAAATATTCAAAGATATTTGATATTATTTTCAAAATCAATTTTATTTATTTAAAATGAAATTCCTGTAAAATTTTTATTTTTAAAAATTTTTAATTGTGCATTGTGTGTGTATGGCCACAAGCAATCAAATATTGTCCCCACGTCCGTTCTCCTTCCTGCCGTGTTTTACAAAAATTAATTTAGAATTGTTTTTTCTTCGCAATTATTCTCTTTTTCTTTAAAAAGGACTTGCTGGTCTCAATGAATTTATAAAAATAACCTGTTAAAATTTAAACCACCTACGTACATAAAATGTAGGCACATATTAAATTTTTTGTTTTTAAAATGTTATGTAATACTGTTATACCAAATGTAAAACTAATAAAGCATTTCTAACAAGCCATTTCCATTTAAAAAGTCTGCAATTATCTGCAGTTTCGTTTTTTTTTTGGGTTCTTGAACCCTTGTTAGGTTACTCATCATCTATCCATTTTAACAACTAAACATTTTAATAGTTTTTTTTTTATAACATTTATGGTTTTATAAAATTAAATACATGAGTTTTCAAGAAAACATGAAAAATATTTTAATATAGACGGGGTCAATGCTTAAAGGTTTGTTTGTTTAAAGAATTTTCTGGCTGTTCATACCAAATTATAAAATTAAAATAAATTTTAATTACATGAGAAAAAAAACGCGATTAACAAAATTTCAAGGTGAATTAATAGAGTCGTAACTATTAGTTGTAGTAGTCGGCATTCTGACGGTATACTTGCAATTGTTGTGGTAATCCATGAGGCACGGAATCTAAAATGAAAATATTATTATTTGTTTGTGTTTAAGAAACTTTTTTGAATTCATTGGAAAATAAATTTTTATTTTACTTGCGAAAATGTTTGTTGTTGCTTTACCCAAATCAAAATTATTTGGTTGTGGCCTTGATTAATTTGTCCCTTTTTTAGTAAGTTAGACCTCAAACAACCACTTGCATAGATATTTTTAGTATATTTTGCTGCAAACACATGAAAGAACGTTTAACTGTGAATAATAAAATGTCACAAAATTAATTAACATTTTGTATAATATTAAAATTAAATACGGTCACTGCAGATACAATTAAAATGAAATTTACAATACAATTTAAAAAACTTGAATATTGAATTTCAAAAAACGAAATTGTAAATTAATTACGTGCCTTTTAAATTGTATATTGTGTCAAGAGTCTTAGATAATGCCTCTGAGACATAATTATGTAAAAATGCAATAGATGCATTTGACTTGTATTCACGTCTTTTCATTCACTACTTAATGAAAATCGTGTCACAATAACTTCGCATTGAAATTTCACCTTTCTTTAATATTTTGTTACTATTTTTTTCAAAATTATTATTATTTTATCACAGTAAAACTAGAATCTAAAACTAAATAGCTCACGCTTAACTAAAAATTTTTTTAATAAAGCGTTGCCAACAGATTACCAATGAAGTGTAAATTGCACGTGTATTCAAAGAGGTACTCAAAGTGAAATGAATTCAAAATTTTATTGCAATATTATAAAATTATTTTATTTTTTTATTTTTAACTTTACATCCCACTTTTAATTTGAAAAATAATATTAAAAATAATTTTAATTTTTATTAAATATTTTTAAAGAAATATGAGAAATAGTAATAATACAATGAAAACGTCTCTAATTTGCGACACGGATATTAAATATCAAAGGAAAAGTCATTTTATTATAGTAGTTCAAAAATGCAATTGAAATTAAATTGGAAAAAGTATTGAACCTTTTGTTAAAAATTCTTAATTAACATTATGGAATGTAGCATTTTTAAAAAGAGAATAAGAAGTACAGGCATAAGCCAATTTAAGAATTGAAATTTAAGAACTTTTTATTATTACAATATGGTGTATAAGAATATTTTCAAAAAAAAAAAAATAACTTTTAATTAAAGTGCTAAAATTTAAAGCTAAATCACTTTTGACGCTGTCTTGTCAAAATTTCAAAAGCCTCTTATCATTCTGGTAACACTTATTTAGAAACAACATAATTTAAAATTAAGTTAATGTCCTTACAGAATGTACTTAAAATTTGAATTAAAAACAAAACATTTATGTGTGCACCTTATTGTCATTCTTTGTTGAGTAATGACATACAACCAGAGCCGTGTCTACCATATATGAAAAGTAAGCATTTTCAATGAGCGTCGGAAAACCGAGGCGCTATTAAAAATTTAAAGAAAAACATAAATTTTAAAAATTTTTCCAATTTTTTCCATTACGTGTTTTCTAAAAAATTTTTTCTACTTACACCGAAATTAACTTGATAACATGTAGCTATATACACAAACATTACAATAGAAAAACATTATAAAAGAAAATTTATTATCAAACATTGTTTATTGCATATTCTTCAAAGGAGGGGAGTGCATTTTTTGCAAACCGCACAGGGCGCCGAACAAATCTGAACCGGTACTGCATACAACTAAATTTGTCAATCAATTACCTAAAATTACAAAATTTCATTCATATTATTGAAAACAGTAAACAGTAAATAACATACTAGATACATGTGTATGCAAATGACACTTTGTAAACATTTCTATAAATGTGATTGACAAGATCTAAGGTGAATTTGCAAAATGTGTCAATTGTGATTCACGCGAAAATGTGTGTGCATCTGTTATTTTTTTTGTGTTTTGTAAAATTAATTATTTTAAAAAATAAATATTTACATTGGAGTTTTCTGCATTAAATTGTATAAACACATTGTTTTTCTTTATCTAGAACAAAATTTCATATGCTTGGATAAATTTAAATTAAGAATTTGTTTTAATTTTTAAAATATATTTAAATTTGGAAATTCCCTGAAAAAGAAATATGATTATTATATCAGCGAAGTTGAAAAATTTTGGTCATTAATTATGAATAAATGTACAGGAGGGGGGGTTGTCAATTTGAATAGTTGTCAATGGGCCTGTTTTCTGCTTAATGTTTAGTGTCGTATGTAAGTGCTATGCGTCACAATATTTAATTAGGGGTAAATATATTTTTGTTTCAATTCGTGTTTTGATTTCCACAGCTATTTTCAACAGAAATGGGTTGAACAGCCATTTTCTCACTGAATTTTTCTTATAATGTTGTCAATCGATTTCAATCGATTTGATCGATTCAATCGATTACAATTCTTTTGATTACCTAAAATGAGTTTACTAATTGAAATACATAAGTGCTGATTTTAATCCAGATTTTCATAATTTTTATAAGTATTTTGATGACTTTATATAAAAATTCTTTAATTTAAATTTTTTTATTTTTCAGAATGTCAATTTGCCAAAAAATTTGTGTTATTGCAATTTCATTTGCATTATTAATCAGTATTATTGAAGCTGGTCCAATATCATTTTTAAATCGAGCGTTTCGTAATGGTAGAGAAATTCGTGCACCATTCAAAAATTCTGAAATAATGGTTGCAAGAGGTTTTGGTAAAAGACATGTAGCAAACGAACAATTAGAAGAACACAAAAATGAATTTATATTTGATGAACAAGAAAGGTAAGAAATATTGATATATTTTGACACCTTGTTTAAAAACATAATTACTAATTTTTTTTTTAATTAAATTTTTAGTATACCAATTGAATGGATGACCAAAGAATTAATATCAAATCCAGGACTTGCTCGTGCTATCTTACATCGTTTCGTTGATACAAATCGTGATGGTTCAATTTCAGCCAGAGAATTAATGGGTCCATTAACTGATGATTCAATTAATAGTGGTAACAATAATAGCGGAAATAATGGAAATGCCAATAGTAATAATAATTTCCATTCAAATGATGGACTCTATTAAAAAAATCCCAAAATTATTGTAATTATATTGAAAATATATAAAAGAAAAAACAATGTTCAAATTATTTAATGTATGAAAATCATGAATTAATTAACAAAATTTCAAAGTCTAGGTTCCCCAGCAAAAAACAAAAAATAATTATTTAAATATGAAAAATAAATGAAAAATTTAAAATAAAAAAAATTTTATTTTAATATTTAATTTCATCACTCTTCCTTTTTAGTTCAATAATTTTTAACTAACATTGAAAACTGATACTTTTAATCGCACATTAATACATATTAAAAATAAACTATTATACTAAAGAATTATTATACTAAATAGAAAATATTATAAAAATTTCTAAATGTTAACAAAAAAACATTAAATTTGTTTTAAAAATTAAATAATATTAAAAAATATTTAAACAAAAAAAAAAATTCAAATACATAAAATTAAAATTTCATTAATTCATTATACTCGTATTTGTTATACACACATTAAATAATTACAAATAAAATTTATTCAATGAAATGTATAATATGCATATTCATACATATACATATATGTACATATTATATATATTTTTCTATTATAATATTATATATAAAAACTGTTATATAAAATAAATATTTTTATTTAAAACTATTTTTTCTATATTATATAAATAATATTCAACAATCCCTTCAACAATGGCAGCTTTAGTCAATTTCTGTATATGTAATTATAAAATAGCAAAGTATATCAAATTGAAGAAAAAGAAAAAAAAAACCACCATACAACATAAAAATGTACTATTAAACTTTATATTAAATGTTATACAATATATTATACTACTTATATATATTTAAAGTAAAATTGTAATACATAGAATATATACATTGTAAATATTATAATAAACTATTATATTTTATGTAATACTATAATATAACTATAAATTAAAATAAATGTTTAAATAAAAATTTTTCTAAATTAAAATTTTATTTTATTATAAATTATTTTATAGCTCAAATACGTTTTTGTTTTTTTTTTTGTAAGAAAAATAGTAAAAATCCTGTTTCATAATATTAATCAATAACTGTTATATTCATATTATAATATACCATACTCAGATCACAGAGAGAGAATTCAATATAATATTAAATAAATGTATAACAGATTATCAATTTAATTAATTTTAACTATACTATATACAGAGAGTATGTACCTATTAAATGTTATATAAATATGTAATATAGATAATTTATTATTATATTATCAAACACATTTAAATATGTGTGTAATATAATTTATATAAAATATATATTATGTTATTTGGAATTTAAAATTATATATTAAATATGAAATATTATACAATAGAATATAATTAATATTCTGTATGAAATATAAATTTTAAACTGTTATACATATTAAAAAATTTTTGTTATACTTTTTATATTTTTTGTTATATGTTCTCTTTTAGAAGATTACCATCTTTATGCTTTCATTTCTACTACATTTATTTCTTTTTGTTATATTTTTTTTTAATATTCGTATATTAGTCATTAAAATTATATTATTCATAAAAAAATATAGTATATAAGTTTATGTTATATTAATTAAATAAAATAAATATTATCAATATTTAATTAAAATTAGTTTATAAGAAAAAAAAAGTCTTTATAAAAGATATTTAAAAAAAAAAAAAATAATAATTTTTTTTAGGCTGGAAAATATTTTTTATAAAAGATTTTTTTAAAAATTTAAAAACATAAAATTTATTATACATATATAACAGTTGGGACTATCAAAAACTGTTTTGATTGCAAAAATAAAAAATTGAATTAAAATAATAAAAATTATTAAAATATCAAAAAAAAAATTATCAAATAAAAAAGAACAAATATATAAATGCATAATAATATATAGAACGGAAAATGCAAAAAAAAAAAAAGTATAAAAAAAATATTTACTCCTAAATTTTGGCTTATTGTATAAAAAAAAAAAATTCAAAATAAAAATTAAGCAAAAACAAAAAAAAAATGTTAAAATTATACAAAATAAATAAATAAAATTATATATAAATTTTTTTTCAATTCTTTACAGAACTGTTATAAAATCCCTTTACAGACTATGTGACAAACGAGATTGAAGTTATTGCAATGTTAACTATTTACAGTTAATTATTTTCTCTTATATTGAACCATGCCCATAAATTTTATACATGAAATGAAATGAATCTATTATGCATTTTTGACAATACTGAGGTGAATTTAACAGAAATTTCACCTTAATTTAATGCAATTTTATGGTATAAAACTTTCTTGTTTCTAGAAACAACTCTGAAGTTTATAATTATTAACTTCATAATTAGTATAATTAAGTCATAACTTAAGTTATGAGATGTTTCTAGAAACAATTTGAAATCTATTTTGAACTCTACTATAAAAACATTAAACATTTTAATTATTATACAACACTGTATGCCTTCATTCTTGCATGTATTTGGAGTTGTATAATACTTAATATTAATTATAATAATTTTATTTAATTTACAAATTTATCGCAATAATTTTCGAGTTTATTGTTTAATGTATAAAGGACTGATGGCAATTAAATATTACAATTTTTTACTTATAGTACAATAATAATTATTCTATAAATAATACATAATGAAAAATTAATTTTTAGTTATAATTATATCAAAATTTATTTGAACTTTAAGGCTCGCTGTAAGAATATCGTAAATCATACATTTATTATTTACGTTCTTATACTAACAAAATACCTATACAGCTTTTAATTAATTTAATCTTTAATGGCAATATTTTAATTATTATAATTATTGTCATACAAAATTATAACAGTAGTTTATTATAACAAAATTGTTATTTAGATTCAATAAACAACCTGTTCTATAATAACATTATTTTAAAAAACATGCAAAAAAAAATTAACAATTTTTGATATGATTATTATTTTTACGATAATAAAAATTGTATAACAGATACGGAATACTTGTTATCTCAAAAAAGAAAAATTTAAATTAAGAGAAGAAATTTTTTGTTTTTCATATAAGAAAATCTAAAATTATTCTGTTATAATTATGATTATAACAGAATATTTTTCAGAATTTCAAGTTTTAATACGAAAATATTTCATATGTCTATAATTATAATATAATATATAATATTAATTATTTATATTTATACATATATGCATCTACTATAATTATAAAATTGTTATAATAAAACTGTTATACATATACACACACACATATTACATAATATATAATCAAATTAAATTCAATTAAAAATTTAAAATAAAAATATAATTATCTAGTGTATTTAATCATAATTAACATGTTGGAGGAAAGCAAAACATTTAAAATTTAAAGTATAAATTTATCAATAATCAAATTAATGTAAAATAAAATAATAATTAAAATTATAATAATAATTAAACCAAAAAAAATCTAATATTATAAATATGATATACAAAAATGAAACCACATTATAAAATGAAATGGAGAGAATTTTGAATTAAAATATTAAAATAATTAAAAAAAAAATGCAAAAAAAAAAAACAAAACTAATATAATTACATATAAATATATTATAAATATATTGTAAATTATGTATAACAATTATTATTTAATAATAATAAAACATATGTTGATATTCGCAAAGAAACTATACATATATTTACAATGAAACTCAAAAAATTCAATGAATAAATTATTCATACATTATTTACGTATATATATATATATATATATATATGTATATAATAATGATAATTAACAAATTATACATGTATATATGCAGTCATATTGAAGGGTTAACAATAGTCTTTACCGTAATTTAATAGGCCTATTTACACGTGCAAACGTTGAACGTATGCACAGCACATAATACCGACCGCTTTGCATACAATAAGGGAAGTATTAAAATTTATATGATGGTACCAAGTGGAAGTTAAGTGTAAGTCTCACATTTGTTATCGTATACCAAATATTGATATCGTATACCAATAATCGTAAATAAACTATTTTTTAGAGAAATGTCTATCAGTTTGGCTATAGATTCGGTAGATTCCAAGGGAACCGAGTGGAAAAAAGTCCTGTGGACCAATTTTTGCCCCACCTCGCCCTCGCCGGAGAAAATTCGATCCGCCTGTGTGTGCAGATTAATAACTCAAATTCGGCTGAGTTTACTTTGAGGGTAAACTAAAGCTGTTTTATGTATATATTTACATTTGTCTATAGCTGTATTAACTAAAAGTTTATCCTTGAAATTTGAAAGAAGTGTTTAAAAGCTATTTTCATAATCTTCTGCAACATTTTTTACTGAATACACCTTGCGATCGGTTATATGTTGCCAAACAAGATTTTTTTTATTAGAGCGAAGGTATGAGAAATATTCGAGAAGGGCTCAATGCATATACGTGTAAACAGGCCCAATAATAGCAATTATCATATAACTATTTTCTTTTCATATACCTCTAACATTACGATATTCCAACTGCTGTTCTGCTGTTGTAATATTGTAATAACAATCTGAATTAATACACTTGTACATATATACGAGTATTTCTTAAGAAACGAATTTAAAATTCTGTGTATAATAAAGAAAATTATACGGAAAAGCATCATCAGAGCTAAGATTGCAAAATAAATCCTTGGTAAGTGTTACGCGAATATAAAAATTTAAACTACATAGCTTGCAACAGGTATGGGAGTAATTTTCATGAAAAGAAGTGTTTGTATAAAAAACCTGTAATATTTACTTTCAACTATTTTTAGGTATAGGCTGGTGTAGTAGGGAATACACAGGGACAAACATTATACCAAAATATAAATAAGTATCTACATTTAAGGTGTAGTGTGTTCTTATTGAAAATATCTATTTATTAGAATTGACCATATGATCTGTGGATCTGTGGATGAACATCTGGATTGAATGAGTTTTCTTACTTGCTATTTCGTACGATTAAAAAAATTCAATTTTGATTAAACGATTTTTAATTTAATATTTGGTTCACTTAAAGCACATACATTTTACATATTTAAGGTTTTTGATAAAATGCAATAAATTTTTTGCTGTCATTTCCCGGAATTTTTATAACTGCTTTTCTATTTTCATCAACAATGATTTTATTTCCACTACATTCATCTGATGTATCTCCTTTAAATTCTTTATATATTTCTGCTTCATAACTTCCTGATATAATATCACAATATGTTCCAGGTGGAACACAAACATCCATTTCAATTTCCATGTCCCTGGATGAGGGATTAAATGCAATAAAACCTTTATCACCTCTACAGAAACCAAATTGTCCATAATCATTGCTAAAGAAATTTCTAACAGGTTCACCTTCAACTATTCTTGCAAATCTTAACATTTCACGAACACTATAATATCTATGTTCACAATTCCAATTAACTTGACAGGTACCATCTTTTCTAGGTCTAGGATCAATAATATTTTGTTTAATATCGGATGGTGGACTTTCATCAAATGATTTAAAATCAAATGAACTAATTAGTTTTGGAATACCGTATGAAAAACCAAGTAAAAATCCTAATCCCATTTTATATGGAACTGGATCTTTATAATTCAAATAGTTAAATGTACGTTGGGCATCATGATTATCCAAATCGACAACAGCATTGTAACTTTCAACTAAATTATAGTTTCGAACGAAATTATCTGCATTATTCAAATTTATTTGATTACGCATAACTCTACTAATTATTTCTTCAAAATTAAATTCAATAACACGTCCAAGATGAGTGTATTCCGATTTCCAATGATGAGCTTCATGATATATAAATGGTTTTGAAGATTCCGGGAAATTATGTTGTGTAGATAGATCATTAAGTTTAGAAAATATGTGCTGATAAAAAATTATAATCTTAAATATTTTTTCAAAAATTTTAGTAAATCTAAAAATTTACCTGTAAATCTATAGGATCCATAAATGAAGATGCATCTACTCTAAAACCAGCAACACCCATACTAATTAAATTATTTAACATTTGAACCAATTTATTACGAACATTAGGTTTTGCTTGATTCAAGTCAGGTAAATTGAACAAACGACATTTTCTCATTTGTTTTTTATCATTCCAATCATTGATTTTACAAGGAAGGTGAAAATCTAATAATGTATATGGTACTGCTGGATAAAAAGATAATTCTGGACATGCAATAGAACCAGCTGTACCATGTAAAATTCCTTTTCCTGATCGTGCCATATGATTTAATATAACATCTACATAAATACGAACACCAGCTTTATTACATCTTTTTATCATATTCCTAAATTGAGCCTCATCTCCTAAACGTGTTTTTATTTTATATGATATCGGCTGATATAATTCATACCATGGTCGTCCATCAAGTATACTATTTTCAAAAATTGGTGAAACTTGAACACCACCAAAACCTTGTGGTCCTAAATATTCTTCACATTCTCGTGCTATATAATCGAACGGCCATTGAAACATTTGAACTATTCCAATATGATTTGGATGAAAATGAGGATTTTTATATTGATCTCCGCGACCATCTCCGCTGCTACTTTGCCCAAATGATTTATAAATGCATATTGAAGCAATTATTAAAATTTGATTTTTTAGTAAAAGCATACTCTTATTTTTATTAACAACTTGTTATTATTAACAATAGATTGATGTCAAGACTATTTATACCAAATGATTTTAATTAAAATTATTCAAAAACCAAATTAAAACATCTGTCAAAACAATTTTAAAATTTGAATATTATTTATTTGATTGCATATTTATTAGAGAAGGACGGAGTTTTGGTTATTGCTCTTAGATGTGTTTTGAAAACGTTTTCATTTACGCAATTTTATCACGTCTCAGTTTGCAAATTCATGAGAAATTTAATTATATATTCGTTTAGATGTTTGCATAATTAATGAAAATGATATCATCAATGAAACTGTAGAAGGTGTTTTAAAAAAATTTTTATAATTACTAGAAAAAAAAGAAAGATTTTGATGAACGCTTAATCAATGGTTATCGCCTGAAATCCAAATACAAAAGATAACACCGTTGATAAGAATACCATACAGGTTTGTAAGTTTAAAATACCCAGCTACACTTGAGTTAAAATTCTTAATATTATTCCTTAAGGTTAACGTATTATTATATGAACGAGTAGAGTTTGCCTGGGATTACGGGTGTATGAATAGTCGACTGCGTGAACTGAATGAAAACTGTCTTATAAGTAGTACTTTTGTTCAGAAAATAGCTTTTGTAAAATTTAGCGATTACATCTGGAATATTTTCCAAGATTTGGCAAAAATTTGGTATTTAAATTACATGAAATCAATTACAGGAGTTGAAAGAAATTTGACACTTTTAGAGTTCTAGACTAACTTACAAATTAAATAAGATTCTTGAATTGTTCATTTCAAATGATCGAAAAAAGAATTTTCTAATTCGCTTCTTTTTAAACATCAAAACTCAGTCATCAAACATCTTTTTTATATTTAAATTTTATTAAAAGCAACATAAAGCACTGATAACACATAAAAACTACACAACTATAAAAAGAATTAATGATCTCTTCAAAAACTACTTATTTCTACACTTACGCATAAAAGGCTACAAACTTTTTAGAATCATTGGCTGGAATTTTAATAATAGCTTTACGATTTTCATTTACTGTTATTATATTACCAAGACATTCAGCATCCTGTCTAAATTTGTTACAATTTTCTGCTTCATAACTTCCTGAAATAATATCACAATATGTTCCGGGCGGAACACAAACGTTCATTTCTATTTCCATGTCTTTTGATGATGGATTAAATGCAATAAATCCTTTATTACCCCTACAAAAACCAAATTGCCCATAATCATTACTAAAAAATTTTTTTACAGGTTCCATTTCAACTGATCTTGCAAATCTTAACATTTCACGAACACTATAATATCTATGTTCACAATTCCAATTTACTTGACAATTACCATCAGTTCTTGGTGCTGGATCAATAATATTTTGGTTAATATCAGATGGTGGACTTTCATCATACGAATCAAAAGCAAATGAACTAATCATTTTTGGAATACCATACGGTAGAGCGAACTCAAATGCAATACCCATCCTAAATGGAATTGGATCTTTATAACTTAAATAATTAAAAGTTCGCTGGCTATCATGATTATCTATATCAACTACAGCATTATGATTTTGAATCAAATTAAAATCATCCAGAAAATTATCTAAATTTCTTAGAATGATTCCACCACGCATTATTTTACTTATAACTTCTTCAAAATTAAATTCGATAACCCGTCCAAGAGATGTATATTCCGATTTCCAATGATGAGCTTCCTGATATATAAACGGTTTTGCATTTTCACGAAAATCATATTCAATTGGTAAATTATTGAGTCTTGAAAAAATCACCTAAAATGTGATTATATGTGATCAAATCTACTTAAATTAAAATTTCAGCATATTACCTGTAAATCATCGGGATTCATAAATGAGGATGCATCTACTCTAAAACCAGCAACACCCATATTAATTAAATTATTTAACATTTGAACCAATTTATTACGAACATTAGGTTTTGCTTGATTCAAGTCAGGCAAATCTAGTAAACGACATTTTCGCATTTGAGTTTTTTCATTCCAATTTAAAATATTGCAGGGAGCATGAAAATCTGATGGTGAATATGGTACCGCAGGATAATATAGTATTTGTGGCATTGCCAATGAACCAGCTGTTCCTTTTAAAATTCCTTTTCCTGATCGTGCCATATGATTTAATATAACATCTACATAAACACGTACACCAGCTTTATTACATCTTTTTATCATATTCCTAAATTGAGTCTCATTTCCTAAACGTGTTTTAATTTTATATGATATCGGTTGATATAGTTCATACCATGGTCTTCCATCAATTATACGATTTTCAAATATTGGTGATACTTGAACGCCACCGAATCCTTGTGGTCCCAAATATTCTTCACATTCCCGTGCTATAAAATCAAATGGCCATTGAAACATTTGCACTATTCCAATATGATTCGGGTAGAAATGTGGTTCTTTAAATTCTTCACCATTTTTGCTAAAGCTATTCGCTAAAGTTGAAGTTTTTTCATAAGAAATTGTTAAAATGAATATTAATATATAATTTATTGGCACCATGATTTTTCTACTTTATTACTAAAATAAGTTTAAGCAATTCTAGTAGTAATGCAAGCCTATTTATATGAAATATCAGTCGCAAGCTCAAAGTTAAATAATTTATGCTAGAACAGACTTGAAACAACAATAAGTTGACCCAATTCATTTTTATCAATTGTAATTTAGATATTGTACCTCTACATCTGTTATGTTTGTTTTTTGTTTCTGATCTATTGTATTCTGCATATGCAATTTATATAGATACTTGAAATTATTGCACTTTTATTTAAATGTTTTGTTACAGCCCCACGCAATACACGATCATGTACAGCGTTGCATGAAAAAACAAATAATTTAAAAATTATGAATAATTAAGTAAGTTTAAAAATCTATTGCGAGTAAAAATTGACAGCAAGGGGTTGAATGTGTATGCAGATCGTTCAAGATTAGATTGAACAAATTTAAAAAGGCTACTTAAAAAGGCTGTGGCGTGAAAATAGAACGCGTTTGGATCAGTATTTAAATATTAAGGCTTATAGAGGAGAAAGTTGGAATAAAAGACTGTACTGAACGAAAACTTACGATTTGCTGGAGCATGTACCTAAAGTGAGTAGCGCATTCGTATCTTCCTTCACAGCATATGTCTACAGAAACACGATAGAGCCAAACTAATGATTATTCAGTTTAAGAAAGGGTTATCAGTTTAGAAAGTTCTGACTTTCATCAGAGGTTGTCAGTTTAGGAAGGTGTGATAACCCGTTTGCGTTTTAGTAAGGGGTGAAATCCCCCGCTATTGATAGGTCTGACGGCAATTTGAGTTTCGACGATTTTAAAAACCCGTAAATCATAAAAAAAATTGGCAAATAGAAGTGCACTATCCATTGATATGTCTCCTTCTTTTAAATAGTCAATTAAGTTTCAATCATTAACTAACTCTAGCCAAGAAAATATGCAGGATTAATATACTCGACATGACAACATTTAAGTATTCTGCCCTCAAAATAAAACAATATTGTTAAGGCTATTTACGCATTTCGTTAAGGTCATTAGTTAGTGAAATTGTAACATTATAGAAGTTGTTTTCTAAACATAATATTAGAGGTAGTTTTAAATTTTCAATATTTATGGGTTTTCCCTAGAGGGGATTGCCACTCAGATATAATATTTTAAATAGAGCTTCTTAAGTACCATTGAATCATTACATTTTATTCATATAAACATGCATAATATTAAAATTAGATAACATAAGTAATTATTTAATGTAGTACGGGCACCAAATTGATAATTACACTTTTTAAATTTCCATATTATTAACAAATTTTGGTATGCCTATAAAATGCAACAAATTTTCTTTCATCATTTGCCGGAATTTTTATAACCGCTTTGTTACGTTTATTCACAATAATCTTATTTCCATTACATCTTTTCCATTTTTTTCCAAAAAATTTTTCAAATAATAATTTTGGTTCAGATGTATTATTTCTGGAAATAATATCACAATATACTCCAGGTGGTAAACAAACATTCATTTTAATTTCCATATCTTTTGATCCAGTATTGAATGCAATAAATCCTATATTACCTCTACAGAATCCAAATTGTCCATCATTATTACTGTAGAAATTTTTAATAGGCTCTCCTTTAACAGCTCTTGCAAATTGTAACATTTCTTTAACTATATGATAACGATGCTCACAATTCCAATATGATTGACATTGACCATTCGGTTTTGGTTTCGGATCAATGATATTCTGTAAATTATCTGCAGGTGGACCAGTTTCAAATTTACTGAATTCGAACGAACTGATCATTTTTGGAATACCATATGGGAAAGAAAGTAAAAATCCTAAACCCATTTTATATGGAACAGGATCCTTATGACTTAGATAATCATATGTACGTTGACTGTCGTGATTATCTAAATCAACAACAGCATCTTTGCTTTCAACCATATTAAAATTCTTAGCGAAATTATTAATGTCATGTAAATTGAGTTGACCACGCATTATTTTACTCATAACCTCTTCATAATTAAATTCAATAATTCGTCCAAAACTTGTATATTCTGATTTCCAGTGATGGGCTTCATGATATATGAAAGGTTTTGATTCTTTATGGAAATTGAAATTTCTAGGCAAATTATTTAAACTTGAAATTATTTCCTTAAAGCAAAAGAAAAGAAAATTTTAAATTTTCAGTCCATAATGAAATTTTTAAGTTTACCTTTAATTCATCAGGTTTCATGAAGGAAGATGCATCAACACGAAAACCAGCTACACCCATACTAATGAGTTTATTTAACATTTCGATTTGCTTATTACGAACATTAAATTTAGATTGATCTAAATCTGGTAGCTCTAATAAACGACAATTTCTTATTTGATATTTATCATTCCAATCATAAATATCACATTTTGGACGAAAATCATCTGATGTATATGGAATAGCTGGAAAATATAATTCTTCTGGAATAGCTATTGATCCAGCTGCACCTTTTAAAACTCCTTTTCCTGGTCTAGCCATATGATTAAGTATTGTATCAACATAAACTCGAACTTTAGCTCTATTACATCTCTTGATCATTTCACGGAATTGCCTTTCATCACCTAAACGTGTTTTAATTATATATGAAATAGGTTGATATAGTTCAAACCATGGTCGTCCTTCAACTATATGATTTTCAAATATTGGTGATACTTGAACGCCACCGAATCCTTGTGGTCCCAAATATTCTTCACATTCACGTGCAATATAATCGAATGGCCATTGAAACATTTGTACAATTCCAATATGATCCGGATAAAAATGTGGATTTTTAAAATTTTCTATTACTGTTTCATTCTTCTTCGCTTGATTGAAGGGTATACCAGTATAAAATAAGAAAACTAGTATTAATTTATTTTTTACAAACCACATTGTGCTCTTGTATAGAGAAAACTTTATGATCCTGAACTCAGTGAAATTCTGTTTATATACAAAACAAAAAGCAGCATCTTAATTACATAGTTTTTCTTATACGAGTAACAAATGTTTTACGACAATTAATTGTATAACAATTTATTCGTATAAATCTGTTTTATAACAAATTTACGATGCGACACGTGCATTTTGAAATTAATTACTAATATGAATAAAATTTAATTCTAATTTTAATTTAGTATAAAGGAATGATTTACTTGTGAATATTGAGAAGCTTTAATGAATTTGAGTTATTTTTTCTATTGTTGGTGCAATTGGATTATATGGAGAATTGCTAAAAATAGACCTAATTTATTAAAATAATCAAACCTTCCATATTGTCACGTCGTTATCACAAAATAAGAGCTGATTCAGTGAATTAAAAACTCGGAAATTATTCTTTATACTGGAAACATAAATTAAAAGATTTTAATTAAGTTGCCGAAAATTGTAATTTAATTTCATTTCAAATAATATTTTCCAAAAAAAAAATTTAATTATCAAAGCATGTAGTAGATAAGAACAATAAAATTGAACTTTTTAAGTTGATTCGCGCCTGTTTATCTAATAAAGTGTTGTCATATTCTTTTAATCTAAGAAATCAGGCAAAAATTATATCTAATGTGCGATTAATTAAACCTAAAGAATAACAGAACAAATTGATGGGTTCTTTTCTAAATTAAAGTTTTCAGTTTGTGAATTTTTATTTCTAATTTTAAATTTTCACTCTAAGAATCAAATTTTAATACCAAAACATTTCCAAAATTTGATCTGGAGTAAAATTTTATGCTTCAATCATGCAATCCCAAAATTATTTAAGTTTCAATAAATTATGGTACTTTTGAAGACAAGGTAAATCAAAAATATTAAAAAAATTGAACTAACCCTCAAATGCGAATTTTAATTTAATAGCAATTTGATTTAATTAAATGGCAAGATGGTTACAACACATTCGTATGCCATAATTTTGTAGAATAAATAAAAAAAATCACATAATCTTTACAATTACTTCTATTTTTTAAATTTTTTTTATTAAAAAATATCAAGGAGAAAGAATTTGCACTATAGGTTACCTTATTTTATTTTGTTATAAATAATCTGCTGCTATATACATAATATAATTTGAAGTTTATCTCAATTTCACATTACCACCATGGACATTTAACACGATGTGGAAAATCACATACTTCTAAATCTGGTCTGAAATGTAAATTAGCTGGACAGTTCATTGCAACACCTTCCGCACTAATACAAATTAAAAATTTCGTACAATCATTTGGATATCGAATACGTTGACCAAATGCTGCCTCTTTACAATTATTTGGCTCTGGAGTTGGTGAAGGTGTTGGAGGTGGAGTTGGTGGAGGCCAAGTTGGAGATGGAGTTGGAGGTGGGGTTGGTGGAGGCCAAGTTGGAGATGGTGTTGGAGGTGGAGTTGGTGGAGGCCAAGTTGGAGCTGGTGTTGGAGGTGGTGTTGGAGGCGGTGTTGGAGGTGGAGTTGGTGGAGGCCAAGTTGGAGCTGGTGTTGGCGGTGGTGTTGGAGGTGGTGTTGGAGGTGGAGTTGGTGGAGGCCAAGTTGGACTTGGTGTTGGCGGGGGTGTTGGACTTGGTGTTGGCGGGGGTGTTGGGATTGGTCTGCATCCAGCGTCTTCTGGTGATGTACAGTAACCACCATTTTTTTTGAAATCTAATGTTGGAGGACACTCCTTGTAATGTATTCTGTGACTCGCATCACAAATATAAAATTTATGACATTGATTCGGATCGTCAAAAGTGTGGCCTGGCTCTCTTCCAATGCATTCATCGTCAAGCCTTGCATTGATTGCGGAAACCGCAATCAAAATTATTAGCTTAAAAAATATTACTGAAACAAAAAACATTTCAATATTAAACCTTATTTCTAAATATTTTCCAGTAATTTTAAAATATAAGATTACAAACCTCTCATTTAATAATCCTTTTGTTTTTCTTTTTTCGTAATTTTATCGTTTCGTTTTATGCCGAAAATATTCAAACCAACCAAGTTGGTACAAACTAGTTCGAGTTTTAGTACAAGAACGACTGTAGCGCTTTTATTTTATAAGTTTTATTATTTGACGTCAACTTGTAAAATACTACATAATTCGTGTAATTGATAAGAAAACACCTACGCCTAAATTTTAATTTATTTTATCGCTCTTATATTTGACATAATATTGGTTTAACAGAAACTTAATTGAAAATTATCGGCATTATTCTCTTTTTTTTTTATAAGAAAATCTATAATCATAATGAAGAATTTAACCGAGATTTATAAGTAATTAATCAGGAATTAACGTGAAATTTGATTAGAACGGAAAGATTCTTGTTTATTGGCAATTAGAATAAATTTATCTAATTATCGTGCAAAATATCAAAATATCAAAAGGAAGTAAGCAATTAGTATAGATTTACACTTAGAGCGTCTGAGGCTGAACAACATTAGTAGTTTTAGTTAATTCTGTTTATATATTTGAATCACACGTTCTCAAGCATTTAAATTTGTTCAAATCTTTTTGAAAATGTGAGAATATATTTCTCTTTTTTGGCTTCATATTTTCTTTGTGAGTCATTTGCTTAATAAAATCAAAATCAAGTTGATGTTTCATCGGAAAGTAATGAAGGTTTACTACAGAAACGATTTTGTGAAGCAATGTATAGTGTTGTTTTTGATTCATATGACTGACAGACATTTCATTGAGAATGACCCGATCTTGGGAATAACCACGTCGGATTCCTGTCTGCCACGATACAATTTTGGCTATAGGTATAAGGTATTGTTTCCATAACGATGAAATATTCAAGACGTAATCGAGTGTAGGTTCGGGTATATACGATGTCCGCCCAGATAGAGGTATATATGCTTTCTTCGATCCGCGTAATCAATTTAGAAAGGATGTATAAAAATCGGAGGGCAGCGCTCCAATTGATTCAGGTTACATCGAAGTTGGTTTGCAGCTGCCTTACAACACCTGTAGAATTAAAATCAACAAATAGACTCACGCCCATTCGGATGTCAAGTCATAGTGGACAAGAAAAGCAGGCAACGAGCTTGTCCATGGCATGATTTCTTGCATATTCTGTCCTTACGAAGGCCGCCTTCTTCAGTCTTGAAGGCCAGACTTGCCTGCCTGCGTTGGGGCTCAATGCAAGCTTCACTAGCCGAACACGAAGGGGTATTGAATAATGCGAAGATGTTTTTTCAATCACGCTCAGGAAAGTTGACTTCAGAGTTATTGAGGTTGAAAGACAAAGTTCGTGCCATTACTAATATCTACATTGATCAGTAGAATATCAGCTGCATAAGCTGGGAAAGTCGGGTTCCTCTGTGTAGATTTTGAAGGGACTGTGGCAAGACCACTAAACACATCCTTTGCAACTGTCCTGTAATGGCTGCCCGGCTTCACAATTGTTTTGAAGGGGTTTCGTAAGCCATCGGGAACTGCTGTTCTATTACCTTGGGGATATTTCTAGATTCGTATGGAGGTGCGTGGAAGCATCGTACTTTAACAATAAGTCATGAATGACTGCGATGATTCAGGGGAAATGTCCTTTTCTCTGGTTCCTTTGAAATCTATAATCTACGTGTTGATGTTTCATTTATCAAATTATTGTACAATTAAGAATTTTTATCGTAAGGTTCCAACGTGCAGAGTTATAAAATATGTTCTGAGAAGTTCTTAATATTCCCAGATACGCCATTATTTCCGGATTGCAAATAAAAGAAACATTTACCCAAAATGTTCTTAGGAAAGCTGTCCTAGCTGCTAAGTGGAAAGATGAATGATTTTCGTAGAAAAAATTAATAAAATTGATAGATCAAATAATTCTCATTGACTATATTCCATACAATAATAAAGATATTGAGATGGTCAAATTTACCTATGGTTGATATTGATAATTTTATTGGTTAAGGAAAAACAGGTTTTTTACAGGTTACAGGCTCCTTGTTATTCTTTCAGGATTTTTTGGTTCTACCATTTAGAACATAAGTTTCTTGTCTTGTTATGGGGTATGACGTCACAGAGTGTCGTCACATTACCTACGACTGTGTCTTTGCTACAAAAGCCTATTTATTAAGCCAAACTTTTGGTTGCTATACCCAAAGATTTTTTTTTTTTTCCTTCCTCACTCCTAGGAGGAGTATAGGGCTAGTGCATGATATATATCATTCTCTAGTTTCTATAGTCATAGAGAGTTAGCTAAGTAGGTGACTAGCCTACCGTAGTTTTTATTTATATTAAATATTTCAGTTTATTAATATTTACTGTTTATTTTTCTTAGTCTTTAGTATCGAATATTTTGAATATTTGAAAATTACTTGTATCATATTTATTAGTATTGCATATTAAGTTATATAATATTGAATATAACTTTTATAGTGACCTCGGGTTTGAACCCGAGACCCTTCGGTTAAAGGGCCGGTGCCATAACCACTGCACTAATTGTCAGATATGCCCAAAGATAATATACAATTATATAATCTGCAACATTTACATCCTTTAACTTACCTAATTTTTGGCAAGCGTACCGATAGACACTTTCGTTCAACAAAAATGAGAGGATCTATAGAGTACTTTATGGCGCACTCGCAAAGTCGCTTATTTATGCATAAATTTTCAACTAACCAACTATATAAGATTTGTTCTAGTCGTAATATGCTTAAAAATCAAAAATTAAAATGCACACTCTTTATGCACATTCAGTTCACAGTTATTTCTGAAGAATTTTCACCATTTTTTTTGCATTTCTCTAACAGGTTATTATAAACGAAAATAAAAACAAGTTTTTTTTTTAATTTAAGAGCTTAACTTATCACTTTGTCGTTTTATTTGATGCACTACTATATTTGCCTATGTGTAAACATAATGAGAGTTATACCATATTATATATTCGTTTTTTAAAAAAAAATTGTTCATTAATTTAATATTTCCACCATTCACA